ATCAAGATCTTCTTATAATCATCAAGATTTTCAAGATCAACACATAAGATCATCTCATCAATCATCAAGATCATATCATCATCATCGTAAAAGATTTATCAAGACACAAGCATAGAGAAGGAGCCAAAGAAGAAGATTATAGCAAAGAAAATAGGTTTTTTTGAGACACGGGTTACCTCTTAGCCTTAATTAGATTCCTTGGCTATTAAGGTTCTTTCTCTAAGATCTCCTCTTCTTGATTTTTCCTACGTTGGTGATAGGGGAATTCTTGGGAATTCTTGTGTGGTGATATCTATTGTGGTCTGACTTCTAGGTATCTCCTATGACCCTATTTATTTAAATAAGAGTCCTAATTAGGGTTTGAATGGTATGGGTTTGCTAATTCTATTTCTTACAGGACTAAGGGATTGGTTTAGGGATAAGGGTCCAAGGTCTATGGTGGACCCTTCCCAATTAATTAATGGATTTTAATTCTCTTTTTAGGGTAAGTAATTAAATAATCAATTCGGGTTAGAGGCCGTAACACAGAGTGTTACACGTGGGGTACAAGATGGTGTTGTGAGGGGATTTGTTCCCCGTGATTCTATTGACTCGGTATTTGATGTTTTTACTTCCTGATGTTCTTCTGTGGAACTATTTGAGTGTCTTCTTGATGTTTCGTATGTCTAGAACTATATGGTAAGATTCCATGTAGGTTTTGGTGTCTTGAATTGTGCTAAGTGATCAACCTTGTGATTCGTTGAACCATGATGAGTCTTGTGTGTTCTTCGGAATGATATTTAGTTTACCCGTTTGATAAGCATGCTAGTTCGGTGTTTAAATGCTAGCGTGTGTGATTTGTTCTTTCCTATTGTGGATGATGACTTGTGTTGATCATCGTTGTTGTCGGATTGTGATCCTTTCCTTGTTGAGTATGGTTTCATATCTTCGTTGTGATCCATTGATTGATTCCTATGATGGTGTTGTGTGTGTAGCTGTACCTGGATTGCACGATTAATGAAATGGGACATTAGTCACCAAGGTACGGCAGTGGTCCTCGTGGTGGCCATGACGTGATTATGGAGTTTGTGACCTGTGTGTCGGGTTCACGTATTTCTTGGGAGGCATGTGTTGCTAAAGTGTGTGATCGGTACCCTCGTGTACTATGAATTAGTGGAAATTGTTGGCAGTTGTCGGCGGATGGGGACGACGGTCCTCGGAGGGATAAGGTTGGACTTGGTTGTACAGAGGTCCTGGAGGTAATGGTTGGAACTAGCTATAAGGTTGGGGGTAGCCATAAGGTTGGAACTGGGCATAAGGAAGGAATATTCTATTTGTGACATGTGTTGTCACGAAGGCATGTGTTGCCGATGTGTGTTTCTCTATTTGTGACATGTGTTGTCACAAAGGCATGTGTTGCCAATGTGTGTCTCTTTATTCTCTTGTTGAGCATGTCGAGTGTTATCCTACTGAGTGATGGTAGAATACACCTTGATCCTTATTTGTGTTGACGTTATTTCACCTTGACGTGTCTTGGGATGTGTTTCCCCTTAACCTTGTTGAGAGTGTTATAGAGTCTTTATAGTTGACTTCTATCTTTGACTTTGAACTTGTATATACAGTATTCCGTTTCGAAAATGATTTTGTATATATACTATCTATGTATTATACTTAACATGTATTGGTGGGTTACCACCATCATTCGCTGACCGGGTGTCGTCCCATTTATTTATGTGTGTTTCAGGTCCCGAGTAGTGGCGAGCGCGATATAGAGATGGCTAGTGTAGTTTCCCTCAGACTCTGTTTAGTTTTGTTATGGGCCTGTGTGCCTCTTGTGATGAACAATAGATTGTTGATTGGTTGACCTTGTCTCTTGTTAGACTTTTAAACTGTTGATGATGTTCTTGCCTGTGCGTTCACCTTAGTGTGGACGTGGCATAACACTCTTTGTTTTCCAGTTTTATATAGTTAGACTTCCGCTGTGTTTTGCTTATATTGTGGTTAGATTTTCTTGCTTATTTAAGTTTAAAATGGCATGGAAATCGGGGGTGTTACAGGCTTGGTATATTATAACACACACACACACACACACACACATAAGGGTTCATGTGAGAACACCATCTCATATGAGAACGTGACAACATATCTAAGCTATATAATTATCATTCAAAAATGAAAAAGAAAATCATTTAGGGGCAAATCAGTCCTTTTGTGTGAATGAAAAGTTCATCTACATATAGAAAAATATGAGATTCCCTCCTTTCATTTAATATGCTTGTATTATTTATTTATTTAATTATTTGGGGGGGGGGGGGGGGGGGGGTTTCCCCTCAATACTTATTCTAATAGTTAACTTTAATTTGTACCCTATATCACCACGTTAACGGTAGTGGGATGTGTGCACTTGTATGCACTACTGTGTGTAATTTGGTATGCTTCGGTCAAATGCACACCATTATACGTGTGTGCGCTTGCGTTGTGCTAATATAGGTCGTCATTTGCTGTTGTGTGCATCACGTGGTCGTTTTGTGCATTCTACATGGGATGACATACATTTTTTCGTACATTTTTATCATCTTTTAGACATGTGTTTCGTTGTCACAACCACTTATAAAACGCCCAAAGTATTGAAATATGTTAAGAAGTGCACAGAACAGTACAAAGAAGTGCAGAATCTCCAAAATTCCTATATTAATAAATCCTTATTCTCTAAATTATCAAAACGTTGCCCACATAAAAGGCTTAATAGACTCATCCCAAGTTGGTGACTAGTACTTCCACCAAGCGAAATCTCCATAACACACCCGTCAAGTGCGCACAATTGAGTTCCATGCAATGAAAAACAAAAACAATGACAATCACAAGTAATCAACACCACCAATTATACATAGCAGATCCCAAAACCCATTACCACTCAACAATGAACATATCACACCAAACAAATGCACACATCATATATAAGAAACACAGACCACACAACATTATAGCTGGCAAAAATCCCCCATCAAACAATTGCACACTAACCACCAACCACACACCGACAGCTCCACTGTGGACCCACACACTATAGAATGCACAACCACTTCATTAGAACCTAGGACCATAAGAATGCACACAAAGACATAACCAAATGCATAAAAGCCACTAAACAATGCACAAATAGAAGCAAACAAATGCACACTACCAATAACAACCCACATTCCTCCCCAACAAAACACCCAACCCTACACCGCCGCCAAACACCACACTCCCATGAGAGTGTGTGTGTTTGTGTGTGAGAGAGAGAGAGAGAACAACAAACTGAGACATAGAAAAAAAAAAAAAAAAAAAAAAAAAAAAAAAAAAAAAAAAAAAAAAAAACCCAAAAGCTTGCATGCCGTCGGTTGACCTAGCAATTATCGACATGGCCTGTTAACACAACACAAAATTGGACACAAAAATAATGAGTTATTGTTTATCCTTAATGTGTCTCGGGTTGTTAACACGTTGACCAATTGTGTTTTGTGTCTTAACGGGTCAACCCATTAAACTTATTAAAAACCCGTTAATATTATCGTGTTAACTCGTTTACCCACACCTATTTATAACTCACTAAGAACACATTGTTAGAAATATATTATTTAATAATTGATAATAAAAAAAAAAAGGAAAGTTAAAACTAAAAAGAAAAAATAATAATAATAATAATAGAGACTTGAAATTTTGAAAGTTTTGTTCTTATTTTTACTCTATACAAATATCTTTCACAATTTCATGTGAAAATTTAGGTGGTCTCAGTGTCTCACCTTGATTCTTAATTTCTTACCGTCAAACTGTCAAGAGCTTCAAAAATTGAAGATTTGATCACTAAATACTCCTTTGAAGGTTGAAGCTTTACAAAGAATCTAATACTTTGATCGCCACTTATTGTACGCCAATAATACTTGCAATCTTGTATATCTAATTTCTTTGTATATATTCTATATAATATTATAATCTTCTGTTAATGTCTGCGAACTATTCTGGATTTCTTGCAAACTATATATATATATATATATATATATATATATATATAGGGTTGAGTTCACATGAGGACAAGTATATTATAGAGGACTTTGCGGACATGTGTAGTCGTGTGCCATTAGTCTGTATGTTGTGTGGATGGCATGATGTAGTCGTGTGCCATAATTTGTATGTCGTGTGCATAGATTTGACAGGTGTAGTCGTGTGCCATTAGTCTATATGTCATGTGTATGTCCTAATGTAGTCGTGTGCCATAGTTTTTATGTCGTGTGCCATAGTTTGTATGTCGTGTGCATAGCTAGGTTTATTAATTAATAGAGTCTGAGTTCGAATCTGATGTTTAAATGTACGCCTAGTGTGTCATTGTTTATTAAATTGTGTACATGATATTAATTTGTCGTGTGCCCATTATTTATCCGCACAATTCTATATATATCACTGTCCTCATGTAAACTCAACCATATATATATATATATATATATATATATATATATATATATATATATATGTTCCGTTAATGTCTCCCATATATATTATATAATAATAATCTCCCGACTATGTATACACCAGAGGGTCCCGGTTGTCGCCGGAAGGGGTACGATAGCCTGGGGCTTGCAAGTAGCAGCGAAAGAAGTCCCCACCAAGGCAACTCCAGTGCTTGTCTGTGTCTGTGAATTCTTTTGTCCAATAATAGGGGGATTGGGCAAGGAGTTGGTCAGAGCAAAAGCTGGGGTGACACCAGGAACATCACCAACGCTACTAGTTGAATTATATTGTTGTGTATTTTGCTATTTTGCGACACAAGGAATGTCTGCAGCAAACATATTTTGCTATTTACAGTTTTACTTGCTGCCTGCTACTCTAGCTGTCCCATTTTATCTGTCCTACTTATTATTCATTGGTCAAATCAACTCTTTCTTCTTTGTTTATTTTCTTTACCATTGTTTACTTGTTTTTAAATTTGATTTTTTGTGTTTAATAGTACTTTTAGTGTAGTTTCTAAATACATAAATTTTGTATACTAATACTAAACTTAATATTATGAAAAATTAGATTAAAAATAAATTCAGTCAAGCATCGTTAACCGAACCATACACATTAAATGGGACGGAGGTAGTACTATTTATATTGCAATGAATTATATTGTTGTTTATTTTGTTGTATATATTGCTATGTACAAGTATACCTATTTTTCTAAAATGTTTATATTATATATTTGGTGAATTGTAAAGTTTGAACAATTATGTTGAATTTACTGTTATTGTGTTATATTTTATAGGTTCACAGGTTAGAACAAATGGAAAGTGGAGATATTACCAATAAGAATGTTGAAATTGAAGATACATATGATTGTGTGGAAGTTAAAGAAGAACTAAAAGATCCACAAAAGCCAATGAAACATAAAAGGAAGTTGAGATCACAAGTATGGGATCATTTTTGATCATTTGGTCACCACGAATACAAATGGTGAGAATGTAATCAAAGCAAAGTGAAAATATTATATTGTGCAGTTCTAATCAATTATGGTAGCAAGTATGTGACAGGTAATATAAAACATCATACTACAAATTGTGTTAGGAAAAACACACATAACATAGGTCAAATGCTTATCGATGGTGAGCACAGATCTATGTCAATGAGATCTAGCAAATTTAATGAAGGAAAGTTCCAGGAGTTAATAATATCTACGATTGTTATGCATAATATGCCATTTGTGGAATATGGTGGTTTTCGAACTGTTTTATCTTACTTGAAGGATGATGTGCCTACTATTTCTAGGAATACTACTAAAGCTGATATAGTTAAATTGCACCGAAGAGAAAAGAATAAGATAAAATTCATGCTTGATGAAACACTGGTAGGGTTAGTTTGACTTCAGACTTGTGGACTTCTATCACTACTGATGGGTATATGTCTTACTAATCATTTTATTGATAAAAATTGGGCTTTGTAAAAAAGAATCTTGAATTTTTCTTATATACCACATCCACATAATGGTATTGCATTAAGTGAAAATGTGTATGGATTACTAGCCGATTGGAGAATTGAAAGTAAGTTGTTTGTTGTGGCATTGGATAATGTTTATGCCAATGATACTTTTGTTGATTATTTACAACTGCATCTGAATTCAAGAAATGTTCTTTTAGATGATGATAAATACTATCATCTTAGATTTTTTTTTTTTTTTTTGGTGAGATACTTTCATTTCAGATGTTGTGCTCATATTCTTAATTCGATTGTGCAATAAGGGTTGAATGAAGTTGATAATGCTGTTAAAAAAGTAAGGGAAAGAATTAAGTATGTGAAAGGTTCTCAAGTTAGAAAACAAAAGTTTCTTGAATGTGTGAGTTTAGTGGGTTTGAATACAAAAAAAAAAAAAAGAGGTTTAAGGCAAGATGTTCCAACTAGGTGAAACTCTACATATCTTATGCTTCAAAGTGCACTTTACTTTTGGATGGTTTTTTCTCACTTGGAAATTAGTGATTCAAATTATAAGCATGGTACATCTAAAGATGAGTAGGATAGAATTGATAAGCTTAGTAAGTTCTTAGGAATTTTTTATGAGATTACTTGTGTGTTTTCTAGAACCAAGTATCTGTTAGAGAGATATATGGGAGGTTGAGAGATTAACTCCTACCCTAGGGTTTCTTGAGTTTGAATATGTGGTTAACGTCCTTCATTCCTCTATATAAATAACCTAGCTTGTATATCTCTATGGAACTAATAAACACACTTACATATTCACACATACAGTTCTCTCTTAACATGGTATTAGAGCGGTCAACACTGAAGTAGTGGGTCGTGGTCGGAACTGGGAAATGCCTGGGTTTCGCTGCCAGAGTGGAAATTTTTTGTTAAAATAAATTTGGGTGGCATGGGTAAAGACGAGCATCTAACTCAAGAATGTCTAACATAACCTAATGTTGCGAAATAGTGGAAAAATGATGATAAATTTGTATTGATAGGAAGATTATATTATCAATGCAACATTGTATGACTGTGAAAGAAGTTTGGGAGTTGATAGATAAATGGTTTAGTGGGATACAAAACTTAAGAAAATTATATCAGTTATCCCAAGATGTCTATCGTCCTACTAAAAAAGAACAAGATATTAGGGATTATTACTATGCCTTTAAAATACAAGTGAAGCTTTATGTACTGCGATACCCATAACAGGTGATGTGTAGACAATGAAAAAACAACGTGATCAGTTGCTTGCTTTTAGTTGGATTTCTGGGTTGGACAAGGAATATGAGAATATTAGATCTCAATTGCTAGGGAATAAGGAGATGGAGACACTAGATCAAGTATTTTCTATGGTCCAAAATGCTTCAACACACGATAATATTACTGATAAAATTTCTGAAAGGACTACCTTTATGTCACAGGGAAATAGTGGTGAAGACAAAGTTCTTGTGTCCAGTGGTAATGAGAATTATGGACGAGGTAGTGGTGGCCGTTCTCGAGGACGTGGTGGTTTTGGGCGAGGACGAGGATGTGGTCGAGGGCAGAGGGTTGGTTTCAATTGTGGAGAACCCAGCCATTTACGCAACCAGTGTATGAAGCCCTTTAGACCGCAAAGGTTTGCTAATGTAGTTACCAAACCAGAAGGAAATGTAGTGGTTTTGTGTGATGAAGAGCTGGTTATGTTGAATCAAATGAAGCTGTCTTCTTCCTCGCAACCTTTTTCCTGTCCAGAACCTCCGTCTTCTGCTTCTGCTACGTTTGTCCATACAGGAAATCTTACTGCATGTGTCTCATCTGTTTCTTCCTACCGCCAGTGGGTCATTGACTCAGGAGCGAGTGATCACATGTCAGGTAATATGAGTTTGTTTTCTAAATACCTCACATTTAGTCGTGTTGCTAGAGTTACCCTTGTAGAGGGTTAAACCACTCTAGTTATGGGTAAAGGAGATGATGGTGCCATTCATGCTTTACCATTGTCATATGTGTTATACATTCCATAATTTCCATTTAATTTGCTCTCAATAAGCCAAATTACTCGTGCCCTAAATTGTTGTGTCACATTCTTTCCTAGTTATTGTTTGTTTCATAATCGGTTGACGAAGAAGATTATTGGTAGGGAAAGGAGGTGGATGTCCTATATGTGTTGGAACAAGCTGAGTTGTCATCTTCTGAGGTTGAACGGGTCGGTCTCTTGGGAAGTACATCTCTGTTCCAATTCATTATCGGTATGCTCACCCATCCTTATCATTGTTGAAGAGGTTATATCCTAGTTTAGAGTCTTTGCTTACTTTACAATACAAGTCTTGTCAGCTTGCTAAACAATATCGTGTACCTTATCCTCTGAGTGTCAATAACAGGGTAGAATCTTTGTTTCAATTAGTTCATTCGGAAGTTTTGGCCCATGTCATGTGACATCTAAAAGTGGTTTTAGATATTTTGTTACATTCGTAGATGATTCTCTAGATATGCATGACTCTATCTTATGAAGTCTAGAAATGAGTTGTTTAATATTTTCTACAATTGTTGTGCCATGGTGAAAACCCAATTCAATAGGGTTGTCCAAATTTTGAGAAGTGATAATGCAATAGAATATCTTCCAAACTAGTTTCTGTCCTATATAGCCCAGAATGGAATGATACACCAAACTTCTTATATTCGTACTCCTTAACAGAATGGTGTAGCAAAACGAAAAAACCGGCATCTGTTGGAGGTGGTCCGCTCCTTACTATTTCAAATGAAGGTTCCTAAAAAGTTTTGGTCAAATGCAGTACATACAACTTATTACCTAATCAATAAACTTTCTTCTACAATTCTTCAGGTGCAAAATCCGTGTGATATTGTGGATCCAACAAAACCATTGTTTCCCCTCCCCCCGAAAATATTTGCTTGTACATGCTTTGTACAAGATATGTGTCCATAACTGGGTAAACTTGATCCCAAGTCGCTTAAATGTATATTTTTGGGTATTCTCCGACTCAAAAAAGGTATAGGTGTTATTCTCCTGAGTTTATGCCGCTATTTGATTTCAACGGATATTACTTTCTTTGAAATTACTTTATTCTAGGAGTGTATCTCTGCATCTTCTTATTACAGTTCCATTTCTTCAGCAAAAGAGGATTTCCTTACCCATACAGTAACCCTTCCATCGTCTTTAGTTTAGTCTGGTCAAAGGGCTCCAGTTACCCAAGTCTGCTCTAGGCGACTAAGAGAAGTTGGTGTTCCACAAGCTCCACCTGTGACTGCTCCCCTGCCACAATCTTCGTCAACAAACCTAGATCTCCCCATTGCTCTTCGGAAAGGTAAACGAAGTCACCATCCTATTTCTTCTTTTGTGTCATATAATCGTTTGTCGTTGTCCTCTCGTGCTTTTGTGTCTCAGTTAGATTCAGTTTCTATTCCGAGAACCATGTGTCAAGCCTGGTCTCATGATGGGTGGAAGACAGCTATGAAGGAAGAAATGGCAGCCTTGGAGGAAAACTAGACATGGGACCTTATTCCTCTTCCGGATGGTAAGGCTCTCATTGGTGTAAGTGGGTTTATGTTGTTAAAACAAACCTTAATGGTTCTATATCTCGGTTGAAGGCACGCATGGTAGCCAAGGGCTATGCAAAGACGTATGGTGTTGATTATACAGAAATATTTTCTCTAGTGGCTAAGTTAACGTCTATTCGTATTTTTATCTCATTATCGGCTACTAATCATTGGCCTCTCTCTATCAATTAGATCTGGAAAATGCTTTCCTACGGGAGGGTTAACTGAAGAGGTCTACATAGAGCAACCACCTGGGTTTGTTGCTTAGGGGGGATCTGGTAAGGTATGTAAATTGAAGAAGTCATTGTATGGCTTAAAGCAGTCTCCGCGGGTATGGTTTGGAAGGTTTAGTAGTGCATTTGTTGAGTTTGGAATGCATAGGAGTGGTTGTGATCATACTAACACTAAATGTATTTTATTAATAGTGTATGTCGATGATATGGTGATCAAAAGAGATGATGCCGAAGGGATTGGTGCCCTTAAATCTTTCCTTAAAGACAAATTTTACACTAAAGATCTGGGGCTGTTGAAGTATTTTCTGGGCATTGAGGTGAATCAGTCTAGGAGAGACATATTCATTTTACAAAGGAAGTACGTGTTGAATTTACTTGAAGATA